ACTGCTTTATTTAATCAGAAACACCGTCTAAATGTTATTTGTGTAGGCTATTTTACTTTTAATTTAATTAGAAGTAGGCCAACAGCGCCCCCTACAGATTAAAACTCCTTACCGAATGGGTATTAGGACCTGGGGGAGGCTACAGCTGTTGCAACTGCACGTGCTATTATGGTTTACTCTATCATACACGAACGCGTCATTCTGTACTGCTTTCACTGATTAAATGCAGCGATCCAAAACAGCGAATCTAATCACTATTCAGCCAAAACTTTGCTTCAAGAATGAGCCACACTGCTTACATGATCTAATCACTAGCACACCCTGAGCACATGCGAGTTAACATATTCCTCTTATTGGCAAGACATATCGGCATAATTTTTCATATCGGGCCGATGTCGATATTTACATTTAAAGCCAATATCGGCCGATTCCGATATCAGTCCGATAATATCGTGCATCCCTATTTATAATATTGTATTGAACAGTGGTGTCATGTCCTAGCAGGCCTGAGCTAAATGTGTCTTTGATTATTAACTACCACTAATAAAAGTCCCTTAACACTGAGTACGTTTACATGGACAACAATACTCTGATTTTAATACGATTAACACAATACTCTGATTAAGAATCTACCATGTAAACAGAGATTTTTGATTACCTTAATCTGGCTAAAGTCATAATCTAAGTAAACAGAAATTGAATTAAGACATGTGGAGTATTCCTATTTTAGTCGCATTACTGAAGTGCAGAATAGACATGTAAACACCTTAATCACATTATTACCATCGTGTAGGACTTTTCGCCGCATTTTGCGACAGGATACACACACGGCAGTGCTCAACCGTTTGACAGCAAATAAAAGAGCTTCAACACCGCCATCATCTGTATGCACGTACAAATAATTAACTGCATTTGAAGCTTTCATAAAATTAAAAATGAAACACCCAAAACTGTACATGGCATCATCACGAAGACGAACTAAATGTGAAATTCCGGAGGGGACGTCGGATGGCGTCACGTGGGACGTAATGACGTGTGCCATTACTCTAACTATGTACTATAACACGTAGGGGAACACGAAAGGAATATTCTAAAAGCCACTCATGTAAACACCATAATCATAATATTGGCTTATTTAGAATAAGGTAAATTATTAGATTACTGATGTCCATGTAAACGTAGTCACTGATGCAGTGCAGTAGGTCTAATTCTTCTTTCATTCATAACTCACACTGAATGTTTTCTTTCTATGGCAGCGTAACCCATATGACCATGGCTGTGCCTATGACAGGATGAAAAAGGGGACCAGAAGTGGGGCAAGAGATAAAGATATATATGTTAACTTTCAGATAGTGAGAGCTCATGAAAAACAGAAACAAAAGAGATGAGATACTACCATTCTACAGAGTTAAAACTGAAAAAAACTGGAACTAGTTGAAAAGCTAGCTGTAGCCGAACAGCAGAAACCATAAAACATAAACCAAACACCAGTGCCAAGAAATGCGTTTGCACCTGAATACTAATGGATGGATCAGAGGGGAAATTCCTAATAATGCAGAAGATTAATGGAGCCATGCATATAATTTGTCATCTGATGAACCACTACCACCATCATCGTCATCTTCATCATTACATTAACCTTTCAAGCCTGGCCCAGAACCCACATTACATGGTATTTCGATTGCGTAATGGTGCTGGATATTGGCTGCTCATGACCACATTGTGGAAAATGTCTTCTCTGCTCCTCTGTGAAGTCAGTTTGACAGGTAATCTTCTTAAGAAGCTTTCTGGACTGTATCAAAGCCAGATATAAGCCAAGCACAGTCGCTCTGAGCAGACACCGAAGCAACACTTTAGTTTGAGTGACTCTAATTAACAAATGATTGGACCTCAGAGAGCTTTTGAGTGGATGAATCTTCTCAAAATCACATCCTTGTCTCGTGTCTCAGTTTGGGTCTGAATGCTTTCTCTCTGCAGAAATGGAAGTACCAGCCTCACGAATGAAAACCAGGATACGAAGGCTCCATTATTCATAGGTGAACTGACAATGCTCAGCTTACAGGCGGAATATGATTTGCTTTGTGAGACATAATGACTTTAAATGATTAAGATCATTCAAAAGTTCAGATGTGACGTTTGAGCACAGAGCACTTAACATGTACAGGAATAAAATAAATCACATTTTGATGCATCTACAAATCAAAAATTATACTTGGTACTCTAAAAGAGATGGGATTTGGCCTCATGACACTGTATTATGCCTGTATGATGTTGTTGGAGATATATGTTCTTTAAGGCTCGTATAAAGAAATTAACATTTAATGTTGACTTTTTGCTTTTCTTTTTTCATATACTATTTAAGGAACAACTCTTAAGGGGAAAAAATATATTACATCTAAAGTTTGGAATCAGTAAGTTGTTTTTATTCATTAAATTGATCAAAAATGACAGTAAATATATTTATATTAGGCTACAAAACATTTCTAGCCTATTTCAAATTAATCCGGTTCATTTTAACTTTCTTAAAAAAGCATGGTTCCACAACAATATTAAACAGAACTTATTTCAATATTGATGGTGATAATAAAAATGTTTAAATTTGCAGTACGTAACTTTTGCCTCTCTATCGCCATCTCTGTTTGAAACATTAAAATGCAAGTTACTCGCGGACTTTCTTTTTTTATATATATACGTGGGTTATGCTTCTGCACTACTGCGCGGATGAATATGTGATGGCGACATTAGAGCGGATCTCTTAGATACCTATCTGAATCAAGTGAACAAGTGCTCTAATGATAGTGAGCTACCTATTGAGTCACTGAAATGTCTTACCTGTTCAGCAGGTCATTATTTAATCCCTTCATATCTTGGCGTTGTAGCCACTTCTCAAAAGTCATGCGATATTTAGCCTACTCTTGTTTTAGTACAGGCCTCTGTCGCTTTCTCTTTTTGACTGCTGACTTTCCGCGGTTTGAGGTTTCTTAGTTTTGACAACATATGAATCCCCAAATGACAACGATGATTGCTGTTTAGAACTCTACCGATTAAAAGCAGCCATCGGTTCAAGTTCAGATTCTAAGCAACTGTTCTGAGCAAACGTTCCACACACGCATTAGTAGTCTTGTAGTCTTTTTCTTCTGTTTACAGACGTGACCTATCCACGTACAGACAAATAGCGTCAATTTCCCACGAAATCAGACCCTACACCTCAAATTATAAATCAATATTATAAGCTTACCTTTGCAAATTGAAGTAAGATGACAGTTTTGAACACTGGTGTCTTATACATACTAATAACCGATTTTTGTTTATTTTTAACCAGAAAAGTTACGTATTGCAGCTTTAAGCACTAAATCAACATATTAGATTGATTAAAATATTGGATTTACTATAATTTATTACTATTAATGTTACATTTATGATGTGTTACAATTGCGTTCTATTTCAAATAAATGCTGTTCTTTTGAACTTTATTCATCCTGAAAGTAGGCCTACAAATTCTGTTTCCACAATAATATTTAGCTGTTTAACATCGATAAGATTTTTTTTTCATACTGTTATTGCCTCATATGTTTCACCAAATCAGAATTTTAAAATGATTTCTGAAGGATCATCTTCTTCACGTGCTTCTCAAACCTTTAGCTCCACATCATGAGTTATGACATAATCATTTGTGTTATTATTCTGGTTGAAACAGGTTTTTCTAGCACAATGAGACAAAACATCAACAGTCATTTAAAGGTATTTTAATGGATGAGTAAATCTGAATTGATTGTCGCACTGAATGCATTGTTGCTTCTGTGCACACTTCTATCACCAGCTATCTATACAAGATTGTTTGAACCTTTGAAACCTTTAAAGTCAGAGTTATTGGAAAACCATTTTCCTTTGCAGGGAGAGAATAGACATTTTGTTCTGCTTTCAGACAAATGCCGTGTCAACATATAAACGTAATTCAGTTATAAACATGTTGGATGGCTAGCAGGATGTTAATTTAATCAGCGTTCTAGCCAGAGTCAGAGTCTAAGAGTCTGAAGGCACTTCTTCTGCAGTGTGAGAAGGTTCAGATTAACCGAACCTCCCGTCCAGTGTGTAGACACATTTCAGAAAGTAATTTGATATAAAATTAGGTTTTGGGGGAAATGATTAAATGGAATAGTTCATCCAAAAATGTAAATTATAATGGTCCACTGTGACCAGATAATTGACTCCAGATTAAATGAATCATTCAGGCTGCTTTTGTGAACTAGATCAACAGATTCATTGAGAAGATCTGACTCAAAAAAATGGTTATTCTTTCATAATTTAGAAATAACAACTTTTATAAAGCGAGCTAAAAGATTTCCGCTGAATGACTTAAATTTGGGTCTGTTCATCACGCAACACTATTGTATGGCTTCAGAATATTCAGAATCATGTCTTGTGGACACTGTTATGATATAGCCCATGCTTTTGTGTCATTTTGAATTGTTTTCAGATTTTATGGAAAAGAGCAGCCAGCACAGTCTTCAAAATATTTGTGTTCCAAAGAAGAAGAAAAAAAGACTCACACACGTCTGGAAAGTGAGTAAATGATAACAGAATATCCCATTTTTGGGTGAACTATCCCTTTCAAAGTATATATTTTATATTTTTTTCCATTTCCCCCAAAACACCACACTGCACACATCTACAGACAACATGGCTGCATATAATGAACCCCAAAGCAAATGACAAAAGTGCAAAACAAGCTCTAATTTAAAAGTGCAGGGTGCTAAAACACAAACAGATACTGTTTGACAGAATCTAAGTAGGTGTCCCATTACGACGACAGACAAAAATGCAAGAAACTTGTTGTGTAAGCGCTACAGCGCATTAATATTTACAGTAAATCTGAAAAATAACCGCAGAAAGTACATTCGTCTTAAACTACACAAGGAAAATAAAGCTTATGGTACAACTTTTTGCCTTTTTTTTTTTTTTTCAACGTACAAAAAGAGGCTCTTAGTATACCCACTGTTCTAGCAGCCGCTAGAGGCCGCTGTTGCTTGCTCCTGGTTCCGTTCCTCCTCCGTCTGCTCGGAAAGGAAGCTTTGAAACGTCTGCGCTCGTGGAATGAGTGTCATAGTCAAGCTCGTACCTTAAAAAAGCCAAAGAGATCATAACGCATGTTATTGACACGGCACTGATTCCAAACGGCATTCGAGTAAAGATAATAAGAACTGTACGGCAAAACACGTTTCTGTGCATCGATTAACTTGTGCTTTTGAATGCAGCATTGATCGCCTTTGTGCATTAATATCGCACTGCTCCTCAAACAAGACGGAAAAAAGATCTTGGCATCTCTCCACCTATCAGTGTTTGGCACGCTCGCAGGAGAGGAAGATGGCTAAACTCGATTTTCTTGAGGTGATTGTGTGATCAATTATGGATGAGGAGTAGAATATCCAGGGTGAGACGAGGATACCTGCTCTCCAAGTAGGTTTCTTAACAATCCCAAGCCCATATATAGAGCACTGACTCGAACAAATAAAAGCTCACCGAGCGAATGACAGACTTTATTTACAATCCAACCGAGCCGCTTCTGAGAAACGTACATGTATTGCATGGAAGATTGTAACTTGTTACAGGTGGGTGGGTGGGTTAGTTAGGGTGAACTGTTCCTTTGGTTGCTTTTCTTTAAAAAAAAAAAAAAAAAAAAGATTTTTTTAGCTAAACAAGAGGGCCGAGTCCTGCGCCAGCTCTCTGTCCCCAATTCGCAAACTATCCGTCCTAAATAATAATTAGTGCGTCCCAAATCAGAGCTGAGAATAGTATGCTAAAGGTGCATAGCATTTCCAGTGGATTTGTGCTTTTCAGATATCACTACACAATGTCTTGCAAAAAAGAACAAGAGGAAATGAGACTGTTCTGTTTCAATTGAACGGTCTCATTTTATCTATTTTGTAAATGCATGTTATAGATTTTATTGTGAGCAATTCATCCATGGATACATTTTATTTTTTTTAACCTCATAATGTTTAATCAAAATGTCATAAACGTCCAGTGAAACGACAGACTTATGCCAGATTTCTCCAATCACTTAGTCTGCTTAACCCTGTAAAGCCTTACATATGAAATTAGTCAGATTTTATATTTATATTATTTTTAATGAAACATTTTATTGAACCTTTATGTATTTTTTGTTATTATTTTTTATTTATTTTGAGTATCACGTTTGATATATGAGGCTTTCGTGGCTTATATAGAGCTCACACACAAGGGAATTTTTTTTTTAATGAAATACCGATAGCTTGTATTTAAATCAATGAGATATAACAGTATAGAACAGTGTTTTCCAACCTTTTTTAAGTCGCGGCACCCTTTGGAAATTTTAACAAACTTGTGGCACCCTACAAAATTAATTTTGTCACAATATTTGAATTTCTAACGTCGATATGATAATTTGAAAAGTATAGATATTCGGTACAGCAGGGAAGAACTGCAGAATATAATGTCATACAGATATTTTTAATATTATTAAAAAAAATTATCAATCAATGGTGGCAATCAGTAGGCTAATGTCTAATGAAGAGACCAATTTATATGACAGATTTTAATGTAGGCTTTTATACATATGTAAACATTATTTAATTACCATTATAACTAGCTATCTCACACATTTTTGCTCACTCAGTGTATTTTTGATTTTACAGTGGGGTAATTTTGTTGCAGTAGCACGAGATAGCTTGATTTCAAACTTTGAATTGAATAAAAAATAACAAGTAAGCAGTCAGTAATAAAATAAGAAATAAAGAAAT